GACCAGCTTCTCTTGCTCTTCTTCGTCTTCACACCGGCCGATTTCTCGACGGGAGAGACGTCTCCGTCGCTACCATCAGATATGCTAGACAGGCTGGAGCTTGACCGAGTTGACGCGGGCGATGGAGGCGCGCTGCTCAAATCGAGTTGTACAACGTTGTCTTCTATCGACTTGTGGTCCGCGGGCGGGAATAGGGGCGGATTGCTGCGCGAGTGTGCGAGGTAGGGCATCGTGGAAATGAGGGGAGACAGCGCCCACGGCTTGGTCTTAGATCCAAGGTCATGCTCGAGCGTCGGGTCCACATATCTTGTGTACTGTGTTAGCCTACCACAGCGCACGGGTAGTTCAGAGAAACAGTACACACTTCATGAACTTGAATGCGGCCCCCACACCCCAAGGCAGAATGAGTGGACGGGAAAACGTGTTGCCGAAGAGAACATCATTGGCAGAGACTTCGTTCAGGAATCGACCTACCGAAAACCGTTAGTTTCTTTCGATGTGAGCAGCGAGCGAATAACACACCCTGCACTTGGATACTCCATGTCACGCCCTTCCTCTCCGGCCGTTCGAAGTATTCGGAGCTTTGTGCGTTGCCCGTCTCATCCGGAAAGTCCTTGATGTACGCGAGTATCTTGCCCTCAAAGAGCGGGGATGAGACATCATGGGCCTTCCCAGTATTGACGGTGATAGGCTCGAGAGCATCGAGAGAGGGACCGGCGACTACGCGAAGACGTGGCATGTGGGCAGCAAAGGGATAAAGCAGTAGAGTCTAGTATGGGTAGAGTTATGTAGTCCCTACTGGACCAGTCCAGTTCAGATGCACAAAGTCGAACCACAAAAACAGGGGCGCGCCAGCGTGTTCAAGAGGTGCACAGGAAATGGAGGTATAGTATCACAGGCCTGCTGCGATGAGGGAAAGGATAAAGAGCTTCCCGAGAGGGCCGAAGTGACATCGGCACGACGTCGTCCTTGGAGTTGCCGTGGCGACTCATGGTGGTCAAATGCAAGCGAGAAGCGATAACCGGTCAAGGCGTAGTACTTGATGACGCGCGCCGAACGAGCCCTCACTTTAGATATCAGGATACAATATAAGAGGCAACATACGTAGGGGATATTGAACACGATTATCTTAGTGAGGCTCAGTTCGTCAGGCGTTGCGGGTCAGTACAGGAAGACTGCGCACGCTACACGGACTCCCAACCTCAGCTTGCTTCCGACAAAATTCCCACTGAGGCGTGCCGGTCATCTACACACGAGCACAGCATGAAGTATGTCAACGATACTGTAAGATATACGCAAATGCGAAGTGCGAATAGAAGGGGAAGAGTGCGCATATGATCACAGCACAAAAACAACGGTATAAGTACGCGAAAGCAAGATGATGCGACGAACAAGATTGAGGTACACAGGTCAAGTCCGATCCAGTAAGATGTGTGTGGTATAAAGCAACATGTGTTAACACAGCGTCAAAGAAACCCAAATATGACCGAAGGTGCCGTGGTGGCGATATGGAGTGCGCGCAAGGATACCAGGGGGAAAGACCTAAAAAGAGTGACTGCGGTATACGTGAGCATTGGGACCACGTCGCGTAGAGCCTAACCCACCTGTAATGTACTAGTACAACGAAACCGCCGAACGCCAGCCGGCTTATAACCAGCCAAACGCTGCGCTCAGGAAGAAAGTCGCAGCGATGAGAGCGCCCGGACTTATACGCAGGTAATCCGCTCCGCTCGTGTCCGACGAACTAGGTAAAGAGCTCGCGACGACAGCAAAGGTGCTTCCGCAACGCGCATTCTGTTGCTTGGCCGCGTCGTTGTACGTTTGCTTCAATCCGTCCACTGAAGGAGCTTCTGACGTGTATAGAGCCATGAGGCTCTTCGCACATGTTGAACAAGACGGAGTTGCGCTGGCGGGAAGTCCCAATCCGAATGGCAGGGAGTAGAGGTAAAGGTCGATCGGGTTGGACGAAGCAGCCGCCTCGACGTAGCAGTACGCGCCTGTAGTTGAATCTGCCAGGCACCCCGCTTGACGGAGCAAGTCATACGTCTGCAAGCCTGAGATATGTCAGTCACGGAGCACTTGCGCTATTGGACTGACAAGACGCACTGGCAAGAGACTGTACAACTTCGGCGTTCCGCGAATTGAGATCGTCCGCACAGTCGGTCTTGAGCTGGTCAGCAAACCAAGCCATATTGCCCGAGCATTGGTCCTCGGATATAGCAGTATTGCAGGTTCCCCAGACATCTACATTGAGCTGTGATATATTCGTCTGTGCCTGCTTCGACGTTGTTAGCATTTGCACGGAGGTTTAGTGGTGAAACGGGACTGTACCTGTAGGAACTCGTTCGACACCTGGGACAAAAAGGAGAACGCGCGGCACTGGCGGAAGGGTAGCGTTCCCGTCATATTGGCCATGAATGCAGCACAGGATGTGGTCATGTTCGAGGACGAGGCCATCGCTGTATCAAAAGGCTGCGGGAACGGCGTGGGCAGAGCGGGAGCCGTTTCGGGTATCGTGGGTATTCCAGTAGTGGTCGCCGTAGATGTCGCAGATTCCGATGCTAACGCCGACGATGTTGATGAAGGAAAGATCACAGAAGAGCCAACAGCGGCAGTCTGAGTGAGCGTCACGACAGCGCTGGCAGTGTTCTGTCTGCGTCCATGCGGTTCGTGCAGATGCACTCCCGTCCAAGCTAATGGCGGATCCGCAAAGTCGCCAGAGAAGACGTCCATCGCGGCAGGATGGCAGATGTATCTTGTCGAGAGCGTGATGAACGCAAGTACCACGGGCACTAGGAGCACAGATACGACTGTTTTGCGACCAATGCTGCGCTTTTTGGCGCGCACGGTGCTCGCATTGGCTAAAGTATCCGCTCGCGTGCGTTGCTTGGGAGGTTGCGCCAGTGTGAATGGGTCGCGAGCTTTCGTGGGAGAAGACATCGGACTTGGGCTGAGACTTGAGCGTGAGGAGGACGAGGATGGTATGGGTGCATGGGGCGATATATAAGAGGATGCGTCCTGCATCGGCAGAGGCGACGGTGGCGGGGTGAACATGGCGATATGAAACGAGCGGAAGGGGGTAATGAGTGTGAGCTTCGAAAAGAGTGTCGAGCTTTATGCCCTGTCTGTTTAACATGTTGTATCAGCAGCCTGTACTTGCCGCACGGAGTTGCGAACGCACAGAGATGTTGAACAATGGCAGCCTGCCTCGTATGAGAGCACCGCGCGTTGAATGGAAACGGAGACAACGGCCGTCGTACCCGCAAGCACGGAGATGAAAGCAGCAAGTCAAGAGCCAAAGCGAGTTCTTGAGGTGGGCCTCTCCGGCTTTATTAGTACAGCCCAGCCTTACAGGGCCAGCAGGGCGGCGACCGCGGGTCTGGGCCTGGCAGTCTCTCAGGCGCTCTTTCTCCATTCATTTCCATCTCTTCCTGACGCACACGAACAGCGCTCGGAACATGCTGTTTGATGGCTTGGTGGCGTGGCGCTCGAACGTAGCTTTGGCAGTGACATTGCGAAACGTAGGCGAACCTCTACGAATGTCGTTCCAATTGTTCAAGATGATTGAGCAGGACGACGCGCTTTCAATCCGACAACGAAAGCCAGGAACGGTCAATCCTGCAGGCACACGCCTTGCCAATGGCGCGTCGAGGCTAGCGCTCACCTCTATTCTCGACCACCATGATCTCAGCTCTGCCAGGCAATGTAACGCTGCTGTAGGGGTTCCATGTGGGTTTATCGTTTATCAAGCGCTCTATCAAGTACTCTATGTACTCTTGCGACCGCGTAATGTCCGATCAATAGCGAAGCAAACGTACTGTACGATGGCTTCGAATTGCGCATTTCATCTCTCGCACAGCTACTTTCGATTTGCAGTGGTTCATCGTTAGGGTCTCATGTATACCGTGGGCGAGTCTAGCATTTGCTGATGGTTCTACTCGATGTCTGCGAAGGAGCACTCGATGACCGCTTCAGCATACATATGCTTTCATGAGAATTTATACACGTTTCCCACCGTCCCTATGGATTCCCATTCAAAAGGTTGTATAGTCGTATCCTAGGCCACCGGTGCTATATGTTCTGATGCTCGAAACACCGTTCAGATTCTAGAGCCGTCGCTCATCATGCATCATGCGTGGGAGGCGGACTCGAGAAGCGAGTTGAAGATGTTGGCAGAAGTCCACCGCGCTGTCTAGGCCGCCTAAGTACCAGACCGTGTCTACGGTATCTCACGGCATTTGGGGTGCTCGGCGTGTTTAGATACTTTCAGCGTCTTTCCACGTCTAAACATGGCCACCAGGCAACGCATCGCTAACATAACACCGCCGGCACACTGTCACACGACAAGACAGAAGCATATTTCTGCGAGAGAGTAACTTCTGATTCGGGGGTCATAACGTGCCGAAGTGGAAATCAATAACAGCTTTGATTGGGCTCTCTGGCAAGTGTGGGCTTGATCGTGGCTTGATGCCTGCATCTTCGAATGAGGACTCGGAGGGTACGAGGTAGGCGTGAGTCTTGCCTGCTAGTCAATCTATTGAAGTCACGAATATACCGAGATCAGGCCCTTCTGGCTTTACCCAGCCCATGCAGTGCGACTGACTATCATTTTTGCTAGTTCAATGCAGATCGCTTAAAGAGCCACGGTTATCGTTGAGCCATCAAGACTGTAGTGTGAACCATAAAAACATACCGAAGGTCTACCTTCTCTACATGTAATACTCATGGCGCTGATGGTAGAAAAGTACGTACACGCATTCTACGATAACATTCATACTCGTTGATACCAAGCCCCTAGGCAATTCACTGCGTCGCTGGCCTGGTGAGGACTGCATCAAGAATAAACCATATCTGTGTAATATCTATGCTGGACTTGGAAGTGGGCTGATACCAGACTGGGCAGATATCCTGTGATAAGTGTACTTTGAGAGAAGATAGACGTGTGCCAGAATACACTAAAGCTGGAGAGAATAGAATTATTAAACACGTCAAATCACGAAGGCGAGATGGCCGAGCGGTCTAAGGCGCCAGACTAAGGCGAGAGTGGGATTCGAACCCACTCTTTCAAAATCTGGTCCGAAAGGGCGTGGGTTCGAATCCCACTCTCGTCACTTGTCTTTTGCGTCGTACGATAGTACCTTTAACCCATAGAAACATGGCACAAGAAAGCCATTGCCCTTGATTGTTTTATTGAGGCTTTATGTGAGTTCTCATCAATTCATGCGGGAGGTTCCAGCAGTATACTTTTGAGATTGTTACTCGACTTTGCAAGGTGCTACTGTGTATGTATATCATTCATTTCCCGCGATACAGCTCGCAAGGGACAGGCAGTATTTGTATAAGTGAGGGACCGCATTTCCAGTCATTCACACGGTTGTTGCGGTCAATGTCGATAACGTCGATGAGTCCTTCAGTGAAGTTGAATCATAATGAACCTCGCTATTCTACGACAGCAACATCCGTTCTATCTTCGATACTAGTCACAGCATCCTCCTCATCTTGTTCGCCTCCCTCCCCACTGGCGGGAGGACTGGCACTCGAGTCAACGCCTTCGCTTTCCTGCACTTGTCCAGCACCATCGGCTAGGACTCCGTCATCTCTTACATCAACGACATTCTCGACATTGTACCCTGCCGCACCCTCCCCTTCCGAGTCGCCCGTCACGCTTGCCATCAATCGACCATTCGCATCTCTCAGATCGATCGGCGACACAATCTCCCCGGTTGCCCTTCCACCCGGTCGTGCGGTCCGTCCCAGAAGCTTTACACGGCGAGTACGCAGTTTAGCAGCCTGGCTTGCGTGGGGAACGAGGAAGCCATTCGGAGCAAGTGTCACAGCGCGGCGTTCTCCCGCAAGCATCTGCATCGGATCGGTGATGTTTTCTGGCATAGGTGGCGGCTCGATGGTCTGCACAACAGATTGTGAGTCAATACTATGGATCTGAACCGTCTGGTCGGGCAATAGTGCTGCGACATGTGGGTAGTCCACAGCTGCAACACGGAAACATCAGCCCTCATTGCTATATGCGAAGGTCACTGCTGCGTACATATCGAGACTGGGTGTTGAGGGAAATCGAGCGTGCCACGAACAGGGTCACCTTCGCCAGTAACGAATATGCCCATCGTGCTGGCTCCTGTCCAAGAAAGGATAAGGAACTCGGTTGGAGAGACGACGCCAATCATAGGACGCTTTCGCGCTCCAGGTGCCTGGCTGATGGGCATGAGAGGCGTGAACAGGCCAGCAGCCAGATTGACTACGCCATATGTTTCACGATTAGCCAGGCAGAGGTACGCCCCTGAACGTCGAGCGACGAAGGCGCCGTCAGGAAGCGGGACTTCCTAAGAAGCGTAAGCAAAAGTACTACAAATCTAGATGAAGGGGAGAAATACCCCGTGGTAGCTGAGCCGGTCTAGCAGGCTGTAAAGCGCAATGGCGTTACGCTTTATGATGCAAAAGTCGACAGGTTCGACCGGTATAGGAGGGTCGGAGGGTGGCGGTGCCGGGCGTGTTATATGTTGATAGTCGACCGCTAGGACAACGACGTTCCGTATGGGCTTGATTACGGTCGACGGAATGAGGTCGAGTGACGGCAACGTATAGAAGTATATCTGGCGGTCTAACATACCATGAGCTGAGTTATACATGTGACAGTAACTGTACGCACCGCAGTGTATCATGGCACGGGATATGCTAGGCAGAAGCACAATCTCGTCAATAGGCTTGTCTGCGGGGAGGCTCTGCCGCGAATACAAGCTATAGGCGTCGGGCTGGCTTGGTTAGTGAGAACGAGCATTTCTGTAAGGCAACACGCTCACTTTTCCCGGTCCAGCAGCTTGCAGCACAAACCGTAGGATCTCTCCATTCGAGCAACCAGCGATAATTTCAGATCCTACGAATGCTCAATCCTATGCGGGAATGGTGACAGTCACGGATACGCACCTAGGGCTTGCGCGCACTTCACTTCTACAGTCGGTACGCCATCCATGCTGTTGTAACCTCTCAAGCACAGATGAGCCAGAGTCAAACAGAGTATGGCTTCCGTGTACCATAGGTCTCAACCACAGTGTCCAGCAAAGCTTGGACTTGGTACGGTGGAATGTCCACAGGCGGTGGTGGGGTGGACGACATCTGAAGAGTAATATAACTGCAAAACGATCTGCAGTGGCTTTCTCAGCCGTGTGAGGAATGAAGCTGCTGTTTTTGGATGATGAAGGTGCTGGTTGAGCATCATGCGCGCTTGCCGACGCGCGTGAACCTTCGCGCTCACGCCTTGGCTCTCACCACCACCATCGGGTGTGGCACTTTCCTTGACTACATTATCAACGTTGCATTATAGACAACTCTCTATTGACGCTCTCTGTTTCGCTGAGAATGTGTGAACCTAGTCTCGAATGTGGCACGTAAATGACTGGGGTACTACCCGCTTCAAGCGGCGCCTTCATTGACATTCTTATGGCCTTGGCATCTGCCGGTACCGAGCTATCTCTAACTATCGGGGCAAATTCTTTACGGCCTGTGGTCTTGAGGAACCCGTCCTTTCACACCATCGCAAGAGCCACTTCCTTCACTCCTTATTCAACAGAGCAGATCATCACAAGGGCATCGTTATCAACCTTTGCAATCGTCGGGGACGGCCCAGTCCCGTTTAAACGCGTTTAGACCTTTTAAACGTCGGCGGAGTTTTTTAAACGCGTTAAAACCCTTATAAAAGTGCTCGCGGGCTTTGCTAAGCGTTGCAAAGGTGAAAATGCCTTTCTATGACTTTACAACGCGTTCAAAAGCTCGCCGACTACCTCTAAATGCCTTCAAAAGAGGCTTGACTTTTCAGATGCTATTCAAATATACCCCCAATTTTGAAAAGTCAAACAAAGGGCCTGCAGCTGCCAAGTACTTACTCGGTATGCATAGAGCTAACGACCTATCTTCACATCGAGCACGAGGCACCCGCTGAGCCCGCTCTGCTGTCAGCTTCCACGCCTTCATACGCCCGGTGCGATTGTGCGCTTCGCCTGCATCTCACATTCCAGCAGTAAGTGTGCGCCATCGATGGCTACCATCGCGTCAGCAAGGGAGACTAGGAGTGGCGCTGCGGCGGTGCGGTCAAGACAGGTCAAGACGGCGGCGGGGCCGCGGCGGTAGGCGAAACGACGTCGACGAGGCATTTGAGTGGTGAGCGCGGCAGCAGATCGAAGCGCTGACGTCATAGGGTCGTGGTGAGACAGAGGCGTCTAGAGCGTCGCGGTCGACTTTGCAGCTTGCTCTTGACCACCATCCTCCCCGCTTCGGCCTTTCACGCGTCCCCGGCGCCCGCCTCCGTCCACCGTCCCGCCCATCTCCGCCCATCCCCTTCTTGTCTCCAGCTCCTCCCGACCGCCACAGTCATCTTCGCGTGTTCGGAACCTACACTCATCGCGCTCGTGTTTCGCCCGTTGTTCTCCTCGCGCGGGCTACATATACCATCGTATGTTATTCGTCAATCCTTCCATCGCCAGATGCTTACAACCACACGCCAGTGACATGGCACATACGCGGATCTAGTCGACTTGCATGTAGATGTGCGTTCTTCTCCCCTTGTTGTCATCGAATTTTCGCTCACGATTAGTCCAGATCATGATTTGCTCCGACCTCGTGTTCCGCTCCACCCTGCCTGCCTATTGCACCACTCTCCCAACATTTTTTACCTGTACTCATCCGTGATCATCCTCGATATACCACATCTCGCACCTTCTATAATCTCCCTCGATATCCTGACCAACCCCCTCTCATTACCATCTGGCTGCATACACATGGTTCTTCTCTGTATTTACGTGTATAAACTGTTCATATGTGTTATGCAAAGAGATTACGAGCATATATCGCATGTATACGACAATACAGAAGAATATTTTGGGCTATTACGTACAACCACTTATTAGCCGCTTTGTATGGGGTTTTAAACCCCGAAATATGTTTAAAACCCCGCAGACCGTTGCAACGTTCTGCGGGCTTTTGAAAGCTTTCAAAACCTGCCGCTAGCTTTTAATGGGTTTGCGCGTAGGACAGTGTGTTTGTTTGGCTTTTAAAAGCTGCCCCTCGCGTTTAGAGCGTTGGGAGCTTTTAAAAGCTTTGCAAACCATTTAAACGCGGTCGGGCCGTCCCCGACGATTTTCATGCAGGCGCTTTCATTATCGTACCTGCCGTACAATAATCACTTGGTCTGTGCAAACTGGGTCAGGTTCATGCTTCGTTCGGAGTGTAGCTTACAATTCGCAGGTCCGTGCAGCGCCTGGTACCGCAAGGGTAGCGCAGTCGCTTTCACATGCCTGGCTCGGCAGATGTATCCAAGATGCGCCCTGATGTGCCAGACTTTCCGGAGCCTGCGTCGAGGCAGGACGAGGCTATGGACGCCAGCGTGATTGTACTTCGATTTCAAGGATTCTCTCGTACGCCGCAGAAAGAACAGGCATCCAAGATAGTTTTAAGCACCTCAAGTACCTCTGCGACTCTGCCGACTGGCACATTTCGGCACACGGAACTTTCGGATATGCCCTGACCATGCCGAAGATTAGATCTTAGATCCGAACATCTCGATTTCAAAGGTCGTTGATCTGGAGCAGAATCACATGCGAATGTCCTGTGCGCGTATATAGTGTTTTGAAAGAATTGAACCATCTTCCACTACTCAACTCATATCCAACCATCATGTCGACGGACACTCAGACCGCACCTCAACCCGCACACCAGCTCACGATCTTGGGCCGTGTCACGTCCATCCCGCTCGTGCATGACTCGCTTGGTTATCTCGACTCTACGCTGTCGGCCAACTCGTACCTGCGCACGCCATACGCGACCGCGCAGGCCATCACTTCGTCTGCTCTGCACTACTCGGAGCCCATAACCACGCGCCTTGCCCCGCTCATCACTCGCGCCGATGGCCTCGCGAACCAGGGTCTTGATGTTGTCGAGAGCCGGTATCCCTACCCGTTCAAGACTCCGACAGAGCAGATCAGCAATGACCTCAAGGAGCGCACTGACTACGCCCGCGATGTCGCCAACAAGACCATCGATGCGCGTGTCCGTTCGCCCGTGTACACCGTTGTGAATGGCGTAGACCAGGTACGTCACTGCATGC